GTGAGACCCTAGGCGACTTTAGGAGGATCTGCGGAAGCAGGTGTCCCCATAGAGAAGGCAGAAATACTATGCTGCGGCTGTTACTGCAGCCATTTTTACCTCTGAGCTGCTGTATCCTTGGAAACACAACTCTACGCGGCACTGTAAAACCGAAAGTAATATTTTGATCTTCGTTCCTTTCTTCAAAGCTCTTCCTCCTCTTTTGTTCTGTCAATTCTGTCTTTCAAGATTAAATTCCCTTCTCTATAGATTTAATCATGTCCTGTACTGTTATCTTCCCAAGACTGTTTCTATCCTTTTCAGCAATCCTATTCTGTTAAAACTGTTTATTTTTGTGCATCTACCCCATAATACCGAGACTCAGACAGGGCAGAGAACATGCCTCATCTATTTCTATATCCCCAGAACCCACCTCTATGGATGGTGCATACTAAGCATCACTAAGTATTTGTAGAATAAATGAGTAAAACAAGTAACAGCGTCTGGTGTGTTTCCTCCCTCCATCCCCTCTCCAGAAGATCCCGATGACTCCTAAAAAATCTATCATGTCTGCCCTGGCTGGTTTGGCTCAGCAGTTAGAGTGTCAGCCTGTGGACCAAGGAGTCACGGGTTCGATTCTGGTCAGGGGCACGTACATTGGTTGTGGTTGGGTCCCCGGCCCTGGTCAGGGTTGTGCGGGAGGAAACCAACTGGTGTCTCTCACATCGACGTTTCTCTCTCTCTCTCTCTTCCTCTCACTCTATCTGGAAAAAAAAAGAACCTATCATGTCCATAGTGCCTCACGGTAATCATCCTGCAAGCCATCCATTCATTTATTCATGTAACAAATGTTTACCAATAACCTATTCTGTGTCTGGGTCAGCTCTGGGATCTAGGAATTTAATAGTCTACGGTACTTGGCCTTCACAGAGCTTGTGCTCCAACGGGATAAATAGACGAGTTCAAACCGGTGAGATAAATGCTAAGCCAGGAGAGTACCATGGGATCATGGTACAGGAGCACCTTCCAAGAGCAGGTGGCACTCAGACTAAAGCCGAACCGCAACCAAAGTACAGGTGAGTAGTGGGAAGCCAGCTAAAGGGGCACAGGTTCCTGCAGAGCTGCCAGAGGGCAAGTGCCAAGGGAGCCCCGGCTGGGAGAGTAGGGGATGGGGCTGGAGCCTGGCGATCTGACGAGCCATAGACTGTGGTGAGGACTGGACTTGTCCTGGGCAGTGGGACCTCTGAAGAGATTGCACCTGAGGTGCATCCTGGTCAGATTTACCAAGAGCAGTGTGGCTGCTGTGAGTAGGGACCAGAGGTGAAGAGGAAAACGCTTCTAAACTGCCTACTCACATCAAACACTTCATGACCAGAAGTGCAGGCGACTTTCCCCCACCAGGCAACTGACACCAGCTGAGTGTCCTACAAGTTATCTCAATTCTCACACTATCCACCTGGAGATGGTGTCAGAGCCTAAGGTTCAGAGCTCAGTCCCACAAGGCTGCCCCTCCTCCACCTTCAGATGCCAGTTACAAGCCCAGGTTGTCACCTGCGCTCTGACCAACCCACTCTCGGTCGGAGCTTTCCATGACCCCCTCCGTGGACTCGATTAATTTGCTAGAGCACTTCACAGAACTAAAAAAGACAGCTTTGCCCTGGCCTGTGTGGCCCGGTGGTAAGAGCGTCGGCCTGCATAGCGAAGGGTCATGGGTTCAGTTCTTGGTCCAGGGTATGTACCAGGGTTGCAGGTTCAATCCCTGGTTCCTGTCAGAGCTTATGCAGGAGGCAACCAATTGATGTTTCTCTCTCCCTCCCTCCCACTCTCTCTAAAAAAATCAATGGAAAAAATATCCTCAGGTGAGGCGTAACAAAAAATAAAAAATTAGAAAACAGCTTCCTTGCCATTACTGATTTATTATAAAGGATACGAAGGACAGCCAGATGAAGAGGCAGAGCGTGGCTGGAAAGGGTACGGAGCACAGGAGCTCCGGTGCCTGTGTCCGGGGTGTGCCACCTTCCTGGCACACATCGTGTTCCCGACTTCGGTCTTGTTTACCAGCCCAGGAGCTCTCCAACTCGGCCCTTGTTGGACTTTATGGAGGCTTCATTATGTAGGTGCTTGATTAAATCATCGGTACTTAAATCAAGCTGCAAGTTCCAACCTCCAATCATACAGGTCGGTTCACCTGGCAACCAGTCCCCATCTTATGGTGATCCAGAGGGTTTCCAAAAATCACTTCATCAACATAAATTTAGGTGCTGTTGAAAGGGCCCTGTTAGGAATAACAAGACTCCTTATCTTTATAGCTCTTATCACTTAGAAAATTCCAAGGTTTTATAAGCTGCCTGCCAGGAACATGGATAGAAGACCGATATATATGATATCATAGAGAGCAAGATTGAAGACAGAGTAGTAATAAACTAGTGAAGACATGATGGTGGAAAGGGAGGGGAGAATCAAGGATTCATCCAAAGTTTATGGTTTGGACAACTGGGTACACAGAGTCATCAACTGAGAAAGGAAATTCAGGTGATTTGTGGTGGAAGAGTTCAATATGGAACATGTTGAATTTAAGATGCTTTTGAGACATCCAGGTGAGGTGTCTTGTGTCCATTTACCTAGTCCAGAATCAGGAAACTAGTTCTGAAAGTGGGCCAGAGCTACAGCTAGAGAATGGGCATCCTTAACATACAGGTAGTCACAACTGCCACATGCTTCAGTGGGATCTTCCAGGCAGAGGGTGTAGAGAAGGTGAAGAGGGCCCAGGATGCAACCCTGGGGAATGAAACATTAAGGGAGGGTCAGAGGAAGGACCAAGAAAAAGCACCAAAGAGGAGTGGTTAAGGTGGCTGGGAGAAACTCAGGGGGCTGTGTTGTGCCACAGAAGTCAAGCAACACGTCTCACCTAGACACATTCTGAGATGTTTTTAGCATACACACAACCACGTAACAGAGAATGTGTGCACACATTCACACTAAAAACAAATTTGTGCACACACAGGCAAAGAAATCCAGCCCTGGCCAGTGTGGCTCAGTGGACCAAGTGTCATCTCATGAAGTGAGAGGTCACCAGTTTCATTCCTGGTCAGGGCACATGCCCGGGTTATGGGCTTGATCCCTGGGAGGGGGTGTGCAGGAGGCAGCTGATAGATGTTTCTTACATCAATGTTTCTCTCTCCCTGCCCCCTCTCTAAAAAAATAAAAAATCTACTCGTTCTCTTTCAGTCAACCTAGGCACAGAGTGTTCCTTTCCTCATAAGCATCTCCCTCACCAGGAGTCAGCAGCGATGGAGCTTCATGGTCGACGTGGCCTTTCTCTGAGCCTTTGCCCGTACTATTTTCTGTGCCTTGAATGCTCTATTTTCTCCTCTCCTCCTCTGATCTGTCGTCATTCAAATCCAGCTTAGATTTCACTTCCTAACTAGACACCTTCCTTGACCTCTAACATCTGTGATTCGTAAGGTAATGATTTCTTTGACTTCTCTAGTAGATTTTAAGCAGGTACCATGGCTTTTGCTTAGCAGAGTTTGGTATTTGTTAAGTATTACATGAGCAAATGGCTAACTTGAATTCTTCAGTCTTTCCCCAAAAGATCTGGTCCAGCCCAGTTTACCAATGAGTCATGGCTCTTGTTCTGCACTGAAGACTTCACTATCTGGTCCCACCCTCCCCTCTAACCTTAACTCTGGTCACAGCTCTCTGCATCCTCTAAGCTTCCACCACTTTGGAGGCTAGTTTCCATATTCCGCCATCTCTTCAACCACCTTTATCAGGACAGGCAACATCCCGGACTCCTCCCATCTCTCACCATCCATGTTTCAACCCGTCTGCAAGTCCTGCTGAGTCTGTAACATCCTTGAGAATCTGAGGCTTTGTCACTATCCCCACTCCTGCCTTGGTGGGCTCTCATCATCTCTCCTCTGAACAGTCAGTGGCTCTCAAACTCATCTCTCTGCCTTCTATTTCTGCCCCTTTCTACACTACTATCAGGTGATCTTCCTAAAATCCAAACCTGATTAAATCTGCTTAAAATTATCCAGTGCCTTCCCACAGCTTCCAGGATAACAAGCCATTCGACTGAGGGCCCTATGGTCAGCTCCTGCGTATGTCTCTTTAGGTTCTCAACAGGTTAGGCTTTTTAAATTTCTCCCTGCTTTTTATGATTCTTTGGTTTCAACTACCCCTTCATGATTTTCTGGTTAAAAAACAACAAAAAACCCCAACTCAGATAACACGTCCTGGGTAGAATCCCCCAATGCCCTCTGATAGGGCTGGTCAATCCTTACAATGTGCTCTGGTTATGCTGTATTTTTGCCCTATTAGAGTAGTTATTTCAGTGGGCCACTAAACTGTGAAGCGGAGGGCTACACACAAAAATAAAACCCAGACCCGGATTAAAATCCTGTTTCATCACTTACTAACTGTAACCTCAATTAAGGTACTCAACTCCTCTGAAAATAAAAACTGCCCTCACATTCCACAGGTGCTCAATAACAACAGATCCGGCACTCGTCTTCCACCGTTTTGCAACTATTTACTTTTCTGTTTTCCCCACTAACCTGGGAAAAATTTAACCCGAGATCCTAATTCTGCCTCCCTGAACCATGGTGTCAAACAGCTCCATCCTACTATTTATATATTTTAAAACACTGACCACACCCTCCCCTCCCCCCTCACTAGCACATTCTTTATGTACTTCAAAATGTGCATAAGGCAACCCTTCATACTGCCATCGATGTAAGACACGAAAGAGAAGTGATAAAAAACCTTCTATGGAGATCCAGTTTACTGTCATCAGAAGCAGAAAGAGTGGGGAGACAGTGCCCCGCAAACCAGTATGCTGAGGCTATCGGCGGGGGGTCAGCTGAAACTAGAGGCCTGGGCTGTGGGTGCAACTACTGATGACAAGCTGTGCCAAACACACAAATGTCTCTACCTAGAGCACTCACTTCTGGCTTCTGCCCGAGCTCTAGAACAGTCTCCCTGCTTCCCTGGCAGTAAACCCACAGGAGATATACTTCACTTACAAAAGATAGGCCATGTTTATTTAGGGTTACAAGCAGCTGACTCACTCAATGTGACTCAAACCACAAGAAGCCATTTCTGAGTCCGAGCTGGGCCAGGGTGGCAGGAGTGCTGCGCAGGCCCATTCACAGGTTTACGAGCTTCTCATTGAGGGCGATCTGTGACTGTGTGAGATTGGCCAGGTAGGTCACCATCAGCAGGTCCTGGAAGACAAGGAAGCCACGATGAGTGAGGAGCTGGGGGGGAAGGAACAGAAAGGCTGGTCCTGGCAGCTCCACCAGGGACACTGGGTGTGCGGACAGCCCCGGAGAAACGACGGCAGGGAGAGGTTAATTAAGAACTGAAGGTAGAGGATGGGAAGGAAATGCTTGAGAACATTTTCTCATCTCTATTGATAACTTACAGACTAGGGTTGCTGGAGTTGAGATCCATGGTAAAATTATGGGTGTGGGGGGTGGGGGTGGGGGGGAGTCTGTGAACTCAAGATGGGAAAAATAAAAAACTGAATTTTCATTTACTTCTGAACTTACACATTTCTTTCAACCATGAATATAGACAACCAGTCACAGCATCAGCAGTATCTGAGCCAATGAAATCAGGAAGGACAAGGGGGAAAAGCGCAGCCGTCTCCTGTCCCCCAATTCCCTTCACGTTCACGGTCAAGGAGGTAAAGGCACAGGCTCCCAGGAGCCCAGGCACGGCACTCACATTGATGTTACTGTTGAGCATGGTCTCGAAGTCCTCAGGAACTATCTTGGGTACTTGGTTAACCAGACTCATCAAAAAGCGGCCCACAGTATTGTCAGCTGACACCTTTCCAGACTGCGCACCAAAACAAAGACTGAATGAGGCACAGTTAGTTCTCACCACCAAGGACTGTCATTTCAGCAGCCTCTCTCTCTGCGACCTAGAAGTGGAGATCTAGGCCCTCCTCCTCCCTTTTCCTTCCCTCCTCACCAGTACATCTTCCGCGTACTGCAACACTGTGCTGAGGGCATCCTGGATGCGAGCCGAGGACCCTGCTACCTGCTGCAAGTCACTCGAGAGTCCAATCACCCGGTTGGAACTAAAACAGGTCTTCATGATCAGGTCAACTGTGGGATGGGATTGGGAGGTAGAAGAAACAGAGAATTCAGTGGTTCCATCAGGAAAGAGATGCTTTCTAACCATACTAACTTTCCCACTTCTCTCTGGACTTGTTCAACTTCCCCAAACTCCCCTGCTCAGCCCTTATTAGTGTTTCTTCCTCCAGCCAGAACTCAATTCCTGCACCCAGAGTGCTAACCACTGATTTTGGTCTCATATGAATGGCCATGTAGCCTCTAGTACTGATCATTTCCCCACCTCTAACAATTTCACAGGTAATCCCTTGGATCCCATTTATGTAGGAGGATGTGGCTTCTACTCATCCCAAACCTTAGATCAATAATTCTCTTTAACCCATCCAAGGTCCTCTATCCTTGTGAGAGAGCAGCAGCTGCCCACCACAAAAAATACCAAAGATCCTAAAAGAGGGCGTGGGAAGGTTACTCACCTCCGATGCGCTCAGTGTCGTAATACGCGTATTTCACTGTAAGAGGTGTGAACATCACCCCCATGGTCCTCCCAGGGACGCCCATTAGAGTGCTGGGGAGAGAGAAGTCAGGTAAGCAGACAGCCTTGAGAGGGTGTCCATGTCTGGTCCAGGCTAGGAAAGCAGTCACACCAAGAGTATGGCTTCTGAGGTTCTGACATAAGAAGGCTCGAACCCCAGAGGTCTCACTTTCTTCCCTTAGCTTATTCCACACACCAAACCTGTGAGGGGGGCTCAGCTTTCGGGCCTGGCCTGGCCCCGTCAGGGGATTACTTTGTACATTGCAATCTCTGTGACGAGAGGAGAGGACACTGCATCTCCCTGTGGAGCTGGGGGCCTAGACACCCACCGCCACAGAAAGGAGAGAGGACAGGTCTTTTCTAGGACTGAGCCCTTCATCTGCACCTAAAAACTAAACTGACTCCAGCCCGCCAAGGTTAGATTGGGTGCTACGAGCCATCTCGCTAAAGGTGACTGCCTTTACTATGTCAGCTATATACTTTCAACGGGACCTTGAGGACTGTGAAATATCTGGGAAGGCTAAGAAATCAGGCAATGGCTAGAGCTTAGTGGTACACCAAGTGGCCATAAGGACCTGGTATCCACCATCTTTGTCTTACTACCTCACGGTTAACTAGTTACACCAGTGTCAGACACAGAACCAGCACCAAGTTAAACAGCATATACACTTACTAAATGCCTTCCAACTCTCAGAGCGGCCCCTTCTTCGGCAAGCCACCTAGCCTTTCCCAACATCCCCACCAACCAGCACGTTCACGGCCTCAGTATGCCAACACTGTAATGTATGGCCATCACAACTGTACTCAATCCTGCGTTAAGAGATACGTCAAAATTAAGGGCAGCCATTCTTTAATCTGTACTACCCTGATCTGATCCTGCGCTCAGTCCAAGGACACGCTACAAAGGGAGCGCAGAGAAGCAGTGCACATGGTGGAGGATCGTGACCAGAGTGCCCTGGAGGGATCGGCTATAGGAACCGTGCAGAGCTAGCTTCCAGAAAAAAATGACACAAAGAACACAACAGCTTGCTCAAATACCAATAGGGCTGCCCTGCGAAACTGGTTAAAAACAATGAGGAGAAATCTGGGGTACAGCTAGGATCAGCGAGAAGAAATTTCCAGGACAGATTCTATTTCAGAGCAAATAAAACCTTTCTAATGATAACTGATGAGTGCGGATGGGCTTCCTCAGGAGGCAGAGTTATACCTGCCTGGGTGGAGGTGGAGTGTCATCTGGCCATGGTATGAACTAGACAGCCTTTTATGCCCTTGTGGCCCAAGACCCTGGTCACCTGACATAGGCCTTGATGCTCATGCGGCCGTTCTGGAGGCTCGTGTCCACAGTGAGGTGGATGGGGTTGGGGGCTTCCCGGCTGTAGTACTCGTGGATCAGCACAGAGTGCTCTGTGATGTCGTGGCCTGTAGCATACCTGCGAAACGAAACATGGTTGTGATTTCACGTCTACGTGTGACATCAATGCCAAATATGATGGCAGCACAGGTGTCTCTAGGTACCTGACAGGCCTATGGTAGTGCTACCGTGACACTCCAAATAACAGAACAGTAAACACAATGAAAACTACATCAAATCAAGTTAAAAGCTGACTTAGAGCTCTTGAAAAATTCCAAGCCATCAACAAGGCATAAAAGACTTATTCAGTAAAAGCTACAATTGAAAATAAATATTTTTGGCCCCAAAGAATCAAAATAGCCAGCAAAACACACTGAATTCATAGCTCCTTGGGGTGACATAGCTCCAATACTCTGTCTCCTGAAGAGGGAGCACGATATCTAATCTGGTGGCACAAGGCCATGGCAATCCTTGAGGGACTTTCCAATCCCCTCCACACCCCAACTTACCAGCCCAGGATGAGCTCATTTGGAGAGACTTTCTTGTGCAATTCATACATGTTCTTAGCAAACTCCATGTCAACAGCCACCTAAGAAGGCAGGAAAGGAAGCTTAGAAGCCAGAAGTTCATAGAAAAACGGATAAGAAGAACGAGAGGCCACCCACCAGACAGAAGAGGCACATGAAGTACGTCCAAATGGAACGAAGCTCTGTGAACTGTAGCTCGAGTTATGAGCACATACGGAGCCCAGCAAAAGAACAGCTCCAGGCTGCACAGAGGCAGCTCAAACCCCGACTCACCTCATCTTCTGACTCATTGTGCGGCACTGAGAAGCAATTGGTGACTTCCACTGAGTGCTTGTCAACGGTCCCTGTGAAAGAGAACCGTCCATGTGTATGTGACCCAAAGGCTCCTACTGCCCCCGACCACTTTCCACATGCTTTCAGATATGCAGACTCAAAGCCAACGAACAAAACCCGAACTTATTAGCTCCAAGTTTAGCCATGTGCATCAGTGGGACCAGAATTTTCCAGAGAAAGAAAACTATGGAGTGACCTACAACACCTTCCTTTAACCATCAACAAATAGGGCCTATTCTTCTTCTACAAGGTCTCCTTAAAAAAAAAAATTTCTTTCTTTTTATTTTCACCCAAAGACATTTTTGCATTTATCCTCAGATAGAACGGGAGGGAGAGAGGGAGGAAGAGAGAGAGAGAGAGAGAAACATCGACGTGAGAGAGACACATCGACTGGTTGCCACCCACATGACCCCAACAGGGGCCAAACCGCACCAAGGTACGTGCTCCTAGTGGGAACCAAACCCAGGACTCTCTGGTCTGTGGGATGATGCTCTAACCACTGAGCAAAACTGGCCAGGGCAAAAAATTTTTTTTTTTTATTGATTTCAGAGAGAGAGGAAGGACGAGGGAGAGAGATAGAAACACTAATGAGAGAGAACATTGACTGGCTGCCTCCTGCATGCCCCCCACTGGGGATTGAGCCCACAACCTGGGCATGTGTCCTGACCAGGACTCAAACCAGCGACCTCTTGGTGCATGGGTCAACGCACAACCACTGAGCCACACTGGCTGGACCCACAAGGTTTCTTTAGTCTATTACTTTCCACTATCAGTCCTACTCCAGATCTTTTTTATTTATTTAGTTATTTTTATCCTCAGCTGAGGACATTTTCCCATTTTTTGTTCAGACAGAGTAGGAGGGAGAGAGAGGAAGAGAGAGAGAGAGAGAGAGAGAGAGAGAGAAAGAGACATCGACGTGAAAGGGACACATCGAGTGGCTGCCACCCGCACGACGAACCAGGGCCAGGGCCAAACTGCAACCGAGGTACATGCCCTTAGCGGGAACTGAACCCGGGTCTCTCTGGACCTCAGGCCAACGCTCTAACCGCTGAGCCAAACCGGCCAGGGCGCTACTCCAGATCTTTACTGTCACCTTCGTTTATAGACTCCAGACTTTCTTCCTATAATTAATCTGCAGAGCTACCTGGAAGATTTTAATTATGTCTAGACAGACCACTCAAACAGTAGCCAAGGCTCAGAGAACACAACTTAGGGAGATTCACCTATACCTGTCTTCAGCTATCTGGTCCCATGGTCATAACCTTAACCCTAGCATCATCCAGAAACCTACCTGTGAACCTTCAAACCAATGCCAATCTTTTACCACAAACTTCTAGTTCTGGTAACTTTACTCCCACTATATACATTTGTTTCTTGACCTCACCAAGACTGCTAGCCCCTTGACTTCTCCGTTTTTTTCTACTCCTATCCCAGCCTTCAAGTGCTCCCCTCCACCAGACCAGTGTTGCTACCCGTTAATGTCTAATTCCACTTTACTATAGTTTCTCCTTCCTAGGCTGAAACTATGTCTACAAACCCAATGAACATACAGAACATACACTCTATGTTATTTGATCTCTCATCAGCATCCAACACTTGACCATGTCACACTTTTGAAATAGTTAAGTCTTCTGTATTTTCTATGCCACTAGGACAAGCTTTTATTAGAGCATTTATCATATTATATTTTAACTATTAGCATGCAAAAACATATCTTCATCTTCAACTTAAGGTTAGAGTAGAGCTCATTTTATCAAGCTTTGAATTCTAAGTGCCCAACAGTTTTTTTTTGGTTTGTTTTAAAATTTTTTTGAGAGAGAGAAAAAGGGAGAGGGAGAGATAGATATATCAATGAGAGATAACACTGATTGGACACCTCCTGCATGTCCCCCACTGGGGATTAGGCCCACAACCTGGGCATGTGCCCTGACCGGGAATCGAACTGGTGACCTCTTGGTGCATGGGCTAATGCTCAACCACCCAGTCACACCAGCTGGGCTAAGTGTCCAACAGTTTTATGATACATAAAAAGCACCAGTGACTTCATTTAACCAAATAAAATGTTTCATAAATTAATGTCTGAAAAACTTTGTAAGTTCCTAGCAAGCAGAATCCATGCATCATCTTCAGTAGACATTGCCTCTATAACACCCAGCACTGTACCATGATGCCTGTCTGAAAAGGATCTGAAGAGCTAGATTACAGTTGATCTAACTAGAATCATTGCAATTTTGGGGGCTCTTGGCATAAACCTTGAGTAGAGAATTGTTTCTTCAGTTAAATAGCTCCAGTGAGTTTGGAAAACTTGACAGTACAGCTAAAAGAGTTAGTATTTGAGTGCCAAGTCAGTGATGCAAAAATCATTTATTACGAGCTCAAAGCTGGGCACTCACAGAATGCCATCCTATTTTAGGAGGTTAAGAATGGGGGTGATACCCAGCCGGTATGGCTCACAGGTTGAGCATAAACCCATGCACCAAGAGGTTGCCAGTTAGGTTCCCAGTCAGGGCACATGCCCAGGTTATGGGCCTGATCCCCAGTGGGGGCGTGCAGGAGATAGCCAATCCATGTTCTCTCTCACCGATGTCTCTCTCTCTCTAAAATATTTGAAAAAAGAATGGGTGTGAGAATGGAAGTATGGGATGAAGGACTGATACTGAACACTTTTCCTGGAAGATGAGTGGAACTTAAATAAGAGAGAGTAGGGAAGGTACCTGTGTCAAAGAGAATACAAAGGTGTGGTGTGAGAAATACCATGGCAGTGTTTGGAAGGTAATGGGTTCATTGAAGTTTCTGTAAAATGCTATATCCTCAAGAATGAGAGAGAATGTGTGTATTTTAGGGGTGGTAAAGGCCTGATGTGGCAAAGGAGGGCAACCAACAGCTGCTTTGTACCTAATGTGTGCCAGCAGTTAGGTGCTTTCTCTAATAATTTAGTTCTGAGAGAGACTGAGTCTAAAGTAGCTCCTGAAGGAACCAGACTTTAGGTAATTTGTCCCAAGGCACATGACTAATATTTGGTGGAGTCTGCCTACAAATTGTGTCCTTTTTACAATACACCAATTATCTTCTAGGGTAGGACTATTACAAGTTCAATAGTAATAAAGAGAAATGAGGCATTCAATTGGGGCAGGTTCACAAAGGTGTCCAAAATTTGTGACTAAGGTGGAGTGAAAATGAGTTTGGTGGGACTAGAAGTATCCAAAGGGATATATTATCAGTAATTCCTCTTTAGTGCTTCGCAGTTGTACAAATTACTTTAACATACAACAGCTATTCCCCGATTTTGGAACTTGGGTAGGAAAAAGGTTATTTTCCAATGTAAAGATTAAACTATATCATCAGCAGACAATTAATACAATGGTTTGTGTCCAAATGGAGAATCAGAGACAGCTCTGGGGGACCTGGGTCTTTATGGATGAGCATCAGGCTTACACATTTAGGAAAGCAGATTATTACTGAAACCCTAAATGGGTTCCTCCCAAACCAGTTTTCTGGTTGAGAGGGATATCTTTTAACAGATGTTCCCTCTGCCAACTGGCTAGGAACTTTTTAGTAAACACCTGGAAAATAAAGACATTTGGTCAGTAGATAGGGGAAAAACGTGGTCACTGAGCTTACTTAGGGAGTCAAGGATTTTTGACTTCCGAGTCGGCGTTTTAACTAAATTTTGGTAGATTGACACTAATCATATTTGACGTGAAATGCTACTGGGAAGAGTAAAATGTAAATAAGTCGGTACACGACAGTTACTTAATAAATAACAAGTCCTTTTATACCTTATGTTGTTCAGAATGACAGCAATCAGGCAGGAAAGTTCAAGTTCCTTGGGAAGATAAGTCGCAGCAGGAAGGCGCGATGGAAAAACAGGTAAGATAAGGGGGATGGGGATAAAGGGGCGGGGAGAGGTAGAAGAAAACGTCAATCTTCTCTGACCACTCACCCAGCAGCGTCCCGATAACTCGGGCAGCACCCTCGTTGCGTCGCTCGTAGCTGTCCACGATGGAGGCCAAAATGACCGGGTGCAGCCGGACCACGCGGCCGCCGGGGAAGGGGCCTGGCAGAGCGGGACCAGCCAGCGCCTGCGCCGAGGTCTGCGCCGGGGCGGGCGCGGAGGCCGGGGTCTGGCCCGGAGTCGCGGTCGCAGCCGCCGCTGCCACGGGATCTGGGGATGCGGCTGGCGCTGGAGCCGGCGGTGGAGCTGGAGCTGGAGCCAGCGCTGGAGCCGAGGCTGGGGCCGGGTCTGGGGCTGAGGCTGGGGCCGCAGCCGGGGCCGGCGTGGGCGAAGGAACACTCGCCGGTCCTGCCGGTGTGGCCATCTTGTCGAGAGAGAAGGAGCATGGAGCGGAAGATAGGAAGCTGGCCAACATCAACAGCGCGATAGGCTGGGTACACACCGCGTGAGCAAGACCTTTGTTTCTATTGGTTACTAATGATGGTTCTCACGGCCCTACCATTTCCTGCTCGGAGCTCGTGCTCTTAGATCTCGGTCCGATGCGCACACAGTGACAGTCGAGCCCGATGGTTCCGAATTAACTTGTGACCGCGCTGGAAAAGAAACAACTCAGCCTGACAGTTGCCGCCAGATGGAGGCAGAGGGCTGCGCAAGGGTCGCAGTTCGGGTTTTCAGACTTCAATGGGATAATGGCTGTTAAAAGTGCCTTATAAAGGGCTTTGTTTTTGACTGAGTTATAAGGTGTCAATCCGTTGGTTTATTCATTCAACAAATGGAATATGTACCAGACGCTTTTTTAGGCGCTTGGGATATATCAGTGAACAAAAACAAAGATCGTTGTCCCTGAAAAGTGTACATTCTAGAGGGGGGTGAAAAATAAGTACATTGCTGTATATGATATGTCAGAAGGCAATAAGTGCTAAGAAGGAAGAAGTAGCAGAGAGTAAGGAGGGATCAGGAGTTGTGAAGAGTTAGGCAGGGTAGGTCACAATAAGAAGACGAGATTGGAGTGCAAAAGGCGAGGGGGGTGGCCATGGGGTGAGGGAAGGAAGAGGCTCTAGGTAGATGGGACGGCTAGTGCAAGGGCCTTGAGGCCCTAGAGGAGGCTATCTGATGGCTGGAGTGTTAAGGTCAAGGCAGGGACCTGGCCAGTGTGGCTCAGTTGGTTGAGCTTGGTCCCATGCACCAAGAGGTCACAGGTTCCATTCCTAGTCAGGGTACATTCCTGGGTTGCGGACTCCATCACCAGTAGGAAGCGTTCAGGAGGCAGCCAATTAATGTTTCCATCTCTCTCCCTCTTCCTTCCTCTTTCTCTAAAATCAATAAAAACATTTGAAAAACAAAAGATCAAGGCAGGGAGTAGCAGGAGATGGATCTCTAAATAGAGGTTGGGGCACAGATCATTAGGAACCTCCTACACTGTAGTAAGGACTCTGACTTTTCATCAGAGTGAGATGGGGAACCACTACCTAGTTTTGAGCAGAGAAGTGTCATGATCTATCTTAATTTTACAAGGACCCCTCTGGCTGCTTTAAGAAGAATATAATGGATTCTGGGGGAGAGGCAGGTGAGAGAGAAGGAGCAGAGAGATGTTAGAAGAATACCAGGTAAGCGAAGTGAGGGATGATGGAGGTTGGCACCAAACTAGTAGCAGTACAGGTGGTGAGAAGTGGGTAGATTTCGGGTATTTTTGAGGGTGGAAACGAAGATTTTCTGAGAAGCTGTATGTGAGGTATGAAAGAGAAGATGACTCCAAGTTTTTGTGCTGAGCAACTGGTGTGAAGCTGTCTAACTGAGTCAGTGAAAGCTACAAGTGGACCAGGTTTCTGGGAAGAGCATTTTGGATGTGTCACCATTGAAATGTTCATTAGACATCCCAGCAGCCTTGTACAGTGGTCAGGTGGAGACTCCAGTCTCTACTTTGGGAGAGGATTAAACAAATAATGCTCTGTAAAGCTCTTTGCAAATGCCTAACATACAGCAATTATTATTAAGTGGTAACTATTACCATTACTATGCGATGAAAGGAGCTCTGTTGCTAACTCACTGTGTAACTTTGGGCGATCTATAATTTTTTTCTGAGCCTCGCCTTCCTTCTTGGTATAATGAGGGTGATAATGTCTGCTCACCAAGAACCCTATTACCTGCCTTAATTAGGTCAAATCCCAGCATCCAGCTGTCAAGTTGGGTAAGTGAAATTGGGCTTCTAGCCCTGACTCTTATGCCCCCAAATGGTTTTCTCCTTGGAGTGCCTTCTATAATTGGAATTTACATAACCCTGCTCCCCTGTCAGTGTTCTAAATAGACATACATTTTTTTTATATTTTATTTTATTTTTATTTTTAAATCTTTATTGTTGAATGTATTAAAGATGTTCCTCATTTTCCCCCCATTGACCCTCTCCTCCCCACTCCCGCCCCCCCTCCTGCCTTTTCCCACACTATTGTCTGTGTCCATTGGTTATGCATATAAGTTCTTTGGTTTATTTCTTCCCACCCCCAACCCCTTTCCCTTTGAGGTTTGTCAGTCTAGCAATGAATTTATACTTCTTAATCCCTTCACCTTTTTCACCCATTCCCCCAACCTCCCTCCCATCTGGCAACCAACAAAATGTTCTCTGGATCTATGAGAATGTTTCTGTTCTGCCTGTTCATTCCATTGTCGATAGATATGTATTCATTGCCATTTTGTTTGTTCATATATTTTATCTTTTTCTTCAAAAAGACCCTTCATCATTTCATATAATAACGGTTTGGTGGTGATGAACTCCTTTAACTTTTTCTTGTCTGGGAAAGTCTTTATATGGCCATCGATTCTAAATGACAGCTTTGCAGGATAGAGTAATCTTGGTTGTAGGTTCTTGCTTCTCATCACTCTGAATATTTCTTGCCACTCCCTTCTGGCCTGCAAAGTTTCTTTTGAGAAATCAGCTGACAGCCTTATGGAAACTCCCTTGTAGGTAACTAACTGCCTTTCTCTGGCTGCTTATAAGATTCTCTTTTTGTCTTGAACCTTTTGCATTTTGATGATGACGTGTCTTGGTGTGGGCCTCTTGGGGTTCATCTTGTTTGGTACTCTCTGTGCTTCCTGGACTTGTATGTCTGTTTCCTTCCCCAAGTTAGGGAAGTTTTCTGCCATTATTGTTTCAAACAGGTTTTCAATTTCTTGTTCTCTCTCTTCTCCTTCTGGCACCCCCAAGATGCGAATATTGGCACACTTGAAGTTGTCCCAGAGGCTCCTTACACTATCCTCATTTTTTTGTATTCTTTTTTCTTTTTGCTGTTCTGATTGGGTGTTTTTTGCTTCCTTATATTCCAAATCAATGGTTTGCTTCTTGGATTTACGTACTCTACTATTGAATCTGTGTAAATTATTCTTTATTTCAGTTAATGCCTCCTTCCTTTCTGACTGTGCATCCATCATTTCTGACTAGTCCTTTTTGATGCTCTTGAGGCCCTCACTCAGTTCATTGAGCATCCTCATAAGCAGTATTTTGAACTCAGCATCTGTTAGGTTGCTTATCTCCATTTCCCGGAGAAAGCCCCCTATCCAGCCCTTGCTCCAATGCCAAACAGCTCAGTTCTTCCCTGTATGTCTCTTTAAGAGGAGCTGCCTGGGGCTTCAGCCACATCAGCTTCCCTGAGCCTCAGTTCCCACTGGTTTTTCCAGCCAGAAGTTATGGGGACTTCTCTTCCTGGCACTGGAACCCTGAGCAGGGCGTCTGGTGTGGGACGGGAACTCCTCAGTCCTCAGGGAGGACCTTCCCAGCCGAGGTGTCCTCCTGATTTTTATCCGCTAAACGTGGATGTGAGACCAGCACGTCCGCCTCCACCCCTCCTACCAGTCTGGATGTGGCTGCTGCTTTAATTCCGTAGTTGTAGGACTTCCATTCAGCTTGATTTCAGGCAGTTTTGAATGATGGTTGTTCTGTAGTTTAGTTGTAACTTTGATGTGGTTGTGGGAGGATGCGATACCGCGTTTACTTATGCCGCCATCTTGACCGGAAGTCCACTTTTTTTTTTTTTTTGGTTCCCCCAAACACAGGTGAACAGAGAATGAATGAAAATCGACTCTTGGATTTGATGACCTGGATCTCCAGCGACCCTAGTACAGCACTGTCGGTGGAAAGGGGGTGGGGGTGGGGTGGGGCCAAGGATACACAGGGAATCCAGAATTCAGATGTGAAAGAATGGTCAGTTTAAATTGATGGTAGTGAGTGCTGGCTACTCTCACAAGAAGTTGCTGGGAAGGAAAGGAGATACTCAGGGCAGTAGCTGAAGGAACAGCAGGATTGAGAAGAAGCAGTTTATCCTGGAAGAGCTTTAAGTATATTTTAAACTAAGGGTCAGGATCTAGAGGAAAGAGAAAGGTTAAATAAACAAGTGTGAGTAAAGAGAGCTACCTAATGAAACAAGGCAGGAAGGGGAACGCCAATGGAGAAGCCTAGATGAGAGGGATTGTCTGACAGCAGGATAAGGAACACGCTGGAGAGGATGCCCTGCGCTGTAGCTTCCCTTATGGATGCCTGGTGGGGGTCTACCTTAGCCCTGCTTGAGCCCTGAAATCATTCCATGGTGAGAAGTCCGAAGGAGAGAAGCGCCCCCAATGAAGAGGTGTTGCTGCCCTAACTGACCATGCGCAGCCTTGGGAGCTCCTGCTCATATGCTGATTTGAGCTGGGCATGGACACTTAATGGCCAAGAACTTTGCCTTTATATTGACTTTTCTCTTTTATAGGAACAGATAAAGGGGTGGTTGAAGAATCAGAGACACTTTGGAGAGAGACGGGACATTGTAGGAGTTCCTGTCAAATTATGTTTTTCTCAGGGAAGTGGAGACAAGGTGATCTGCTCAGAATGGCAATGCAAGGGTGGGGTTTAGCCTTGGGGCAATGGGCAGTTTTTGGAAGAAGAGCAGATAGTGAGCCCTCAAAGGCATTTTATGGGAAGACCCAGTGGGGCCTGGAGACTTCAAGGATCTAGTTAGCTTTTGTATTTTTATCCAGCCACATAATTCAGGGGCAGGAGGAGAGTGATCATTGGCATGGTCTTCCTAGGGATGCTGACTGGCCAGGACAAGGACATGCACACATCCAGGATGCTGGCTTTTCAATGCTGACTGAAGGACCCAGGTAGGCTGAACCCTATTTATAGAGAGAGGGAAGGTGGGAGAGAGGATGAGGAAGAGGAAGAGAGAGAGCTGTACCTATCAGCTAACTTCACCTATCTGTCTGTTTCTCTCTTTGACTTTCTGTTTTGTCTGCTCATTTCTCTCTTGTGCCTCTTTGAATCTCTTCTGATTGTTTCCCTCTTGGTCTCTGTCCCTTTTGTCTTTATCCCTTCCCTTTTGGGGACTCCATTGCACCAGCTGTCAGTTCTGCCCTCAGCCAGGCCAGGGTTAACAGGGAGGGAGATCTCATTTCATTTCCTGCCTCCACCCTCCAATTAAAATGGGTTCTTTTGCATCTCATTTCTACTTCCTTCAGGTGTGACTGTCAGTCTCTGGCCCAGACTCTCAGTCTCCAGACCTGGCGCTTTCTAGGGGAGGCAGACCCGAGAGCCTTCATAGTAAGTGGCCTCACTCCTTTCTCTGTCATGGGATCTATGAGGCTGTCTCACTTTATTTTCCCACCGTGGTCTCATGGGCTTGGCTCTTTGCTGTAATGTTCCTGTCTCTAGCCTCAGCTTGGTTAAGGCTCTGGGAGAGACCCATTCCCATTTCTGCCTGCTCTCCTGGACTCTGGGAGAGCTCCCCGAGCAATGGGCACTGGAGTCTTGGAGGAGGAGGAAAGGTGCATGGGAGAGAGGCTGCCAGCAGTCACCTCCTAGCTTCCCCCTCCTCACCCAGTCCTGTCCCCTTAGGGCATGTTCTTACTCATCTTTTATGCAGAATACAGAATGCTCAGGTGCGGATGCTCTCTCCATCCTCCTGTCACAGGCTGTGAACCCTACCCCAATCCACATCCCCACTTCCGTCCTCTAGCACCTCCTCTACGCCCGCATCTCCATCTCCTGTCGATGTTGTTTTGGTCAGCATTTGCCACCCTCTCCCATGTTAAAACACACAGAACCTTGTCTGCACTCGCCCTCATCTCAGGATCTCTCTGACTCCTTTGGCTGCTAAGCTTCTTGAAAGTTTGTCTATACATGTTTTTCTTTTTGCAGCTACACGTTAGTCCCACTTCTTTTTTTTTTTTTTTAAATCCTCACCCGAGGACATTTTTCCATTTTTTGTTCAGATAGAGCGGGAGGGAGAGAGAGAGAGAGAAACATCGACGTGAAAGGGACACATTGAGTGGCTGCCACCCACACGACCCAACCAGGGCCGGGGACAAACTGCAACCGAGGTACATGCCCGTAGCGGGAACCGAACCCGGGTCTCTCTGGACCGCAGGCCGACGCTCGAACCGCTGAGCCAAACCGGCCAGGGCAGTCCCACTTCTTTATGTCCTGTCCTTTCATTCTCAATTTTATTTTATCAGAGTGACACAAACTCATAGTTTAAAGTCAATAAGCGTGACAGAGATTATGCTCCAAGTACAGTAGTTCTCGGGTCCCCCCCTTCCCATGCCCAGTCTTCCTGGGGCCACTACTTTACATTTTACACTGTTTCTTTTCTCATCTCTGTATTTCTAAATGCATGTACATTGCTGTCTCTTGCTTCATCAATTTTTCAATTTTAAGCATTATTTGTTGACTCCCGATACCAGTGCATCCTTTCATTAGTTTAGTATTCAGTGCTTACATTATTTCTGTGCAAATATTATTTACACCTGAGTGTTGTAATTTACTGTTATGTAAACATCTGACTTCCTTTTTTTGTTTTTCCTTTGTTATTTCTTTTCGAGAGCTAGTAATTTCCTTGTTTTACTTTTGTTAGTGGCCAGATGGTGAGACCTTGGTTCTTGTCTTTTGAAGGAAAGATTTCAATCAGGAGACAAAGTGTAGCAAAGTAGGAAAAAATTTATTGGCTGCAGTGAAAACCCACTCAGGACAGTGAAACTAGGAAGGGCATAGAAGAGGCAACAAGAGAGCCTAGGCTGGGCAGCTTTGGCTCACTGAGAGGTCAGAGAAAAGGGGCCTTAGAGACAGGCTCAGGGGTTAGTCCAGGACAAGCTGCTGCTGCCCATTGCTCCCCTGGCTGCAAGTCTCCTGGGAAGACTTAGAGGGAAGAAGGGGGAAGGGAATGGTGCTGGCATACTCCCCTGTGGGAGCCCGCACACGGGGTCCTTCATCCTCAGCAAATGTCTCTCCTGTGGGTGGGAATCGTAAGGGAAGTCTCAGGAAGGGTCTCAGTAGAATATTCATCAGCTTTCCAGGTGTGCTCTTTCAGGGTCGTGGTGTCCACAGACTGGTTGGTGACAGGACAGGGGGTCATTAGTCAATACAGCAGGTCTTGAGGCAGCCACGAAGTCCCTTGTCTGGTTTTGTTGCTTTTCTGGGCCTGGAGCTGAACTACAACTGAGGCCCTAGATGTTATCTTTAGGGAGGAAAAGGTCAGGGGGTCTAAACCGTATGATCAGTGATATGCTAGGGGAGAAGAGGTTACCCCGAGGGCAAGATTCTTGTTTTCCCAGTTTTGCCCCTTGCTAGGCATCAGGGGCTCTCTGCCCTGGTGAGTTTCTGTACCTGGCCCATCCTCCTTGCTCTGCTCCTATCTGTCTAACTGCCTGTAACACTTTTATGGGTCCCGTTCTCTTGGTATTAATGGTTAGTTTTTCCCATACCCCCTAATAGGTTCTCAGTGGGGTATTTTGAAGGCCAGTGGCACCAGTCAATCGGTCCATCCTTTTCCCTTGGAGAGGACCTCTCTGAGAACCCCATTCTGCTCTACCAGGGCTTCCTGGGCTGTCAGCTCCTCGAGCCCCCTGACCAGCTGCCTTCTAGGACTTGGTTTTGCTCCTTGTTTGGGTTCCTGCTTCATGAAGCTCCAGTCTTCCTCCTTTCTCACTCTGATGGATGTGAGCACATCCTCCAGTGGTTCCAACAACTTAAAGAAAGGGCGCCACGGCCAAGGCTGTGGCGGTGACGGCGCCCCGATCCCTTTGTTTCTCAAGTCTGGCTGCCCCAGCCTGGCCTGGAGTCACTTTGCAGAAGAGGGCTGGAGTCTCTGCACTTTAACACGTGGAGGAATGAGGTCAAGTTCTCCTCTGGTGAGCAGTGTTCATCCACCGACAGGCAGAAGGAACGTGTGGGCATCTGTACTTCTTCACCTGTGCACTAGGCCAGGTGGGTTTCAGAGGGCAGGTTACTAGGTGGGCACATCCAGCCTTTCCATACCAGCCTCACCAAGCAGAAGTAAATGAGTGGGTTTGGGCTGGTGGAACAGGCCTGGCTTGGGAAGCTGTCTGATCAGAAGAGGGATCTGTTTTAGTTCAGTTCCCAGGACCTTGCTTGTCAGGCTCTTGCCGTCAGGAGCTCGTTTCCCTGGCTCACCTCCCACTCTCCCAGCTCCCAGCCTGCAGGCACTGAGCAGCCGGGAGGGCTCATCCAGGCGGGCTCCAGTGCTCTCTTCTCCTGTTCTTTCCCCAACTAGCTCTGCTGGCAGCAGAGATGTGCAGGGGAGCCTGAGGTTCGATTGTAAATTGCTCCTGCATTTCCAAATTGCCCGGTGACTGGCAGCCCAAGTCCCTGCATCCTAACATATTTCTAAAAGTTTCTCTCTCCTTTTGGTATGTAATCAAAATGCTGATGTTTGAATCTCAACCACTTTCCTGGTTCCCAGACACCCTTTGCTCACTCTCAGACATTTTACCGAGATGGATTCCCCGTTGGCTTTAGGTCACAGGGATCATTCCGAGCTCTGAACGTTTTCTGTCAATTGTTGGGTTTCTTCTTTTGAAGCCTGCCACCCTGCCAGTCTAGGTTCTCTATGTTAAATATGACTCAAGACCCTGATCTCCTTTCTTGGCAACTGTCGTCTCTACGTCTCTCTGCAGTTTCAGGCAGCATTTAGCCAAAGTACCTGGCTTCCGCGCCTGTCGACTGTGTCTGTGCTTCATCTTCTTGTCTCTCCATCTACCCAGGTCATAGCTCACAAGTTAAATCCCGCCTCTGTGCCCACTGATCTAGCTCCAGAAAATTCTGAAAACCCATTTTTCTCTGACCGTCAAATTTCTCATCTGGAGGGATCCCCAAGACAGTTTATGTGATGATCAAACAGATAACGTATATTAATCACCCAGAACAAAGTGAGCCCTCAGAGCGGCCATTGCTTTGATCATGATTTGAATTTGTCTCCTTCTCTGAATGAGAAGACTCATTCAGAGAGGGAAGGAAGAAGGGAGGAGAGAGATGGAGAGATAGAGAGAGATCAACACACCCATATACCTTGCTTCTACTTGCCACACTGACAATAACAAAAAGGTATGCAGGAATTGTCCTAGTCACTCCCTGCCTGTCTTGGAACTTGGCATGTATCTCTCCCTCACTGGCTTGTGCTCAGCAGCTTGCCCAGCACCCAGAAAGCAGGGCAGACGGAGGCGCCTTCTTGCTGCTCTTCCCTCAGCAGTGCACCTGTCCTCTCCTCTCCTCCCTCCTCCAGGTCACAGGTCTGAACTTGACACTTCACACTAAATACCATGGCCCTGGCCAGCAACCCACGGGAGGCATTGCTTTCGGCCTTGAGTGACCTTGATGAAAATGGCTTCAAGATATTCAAGTTCCACTTACGGGACAAAACACTGCTTGAGGGTCAAACGCTGGCCCGAGGGGAGCTGGAGGGCCTGAGTCGAGTGGACCTGGCTTCTCGGCTGATTTTGATGTACGGAGCACAGGAGGCCGTGAAGGTGGTGCGCAAGGTGCTAATGGTCATGAACTTTTTAGAACTTGCGGACCAGCTCAGCCACATTTGTCTAAATGGTGAGTACGGTGGGGCCAAAGAGAGGTCAGGGTGGCCCCGAGACACCCCCTCCCCAATGGCATTTCCCAAACTCCCAGGGCCTGTAACTTAGGCCTTCTTCCACGCTTGCCCTGGGCCCATGCCTGGGAGCCCCAGGGTCTGAGGGTCCTCACAGTCTCCCGTTGAAGACTCTGACGACTGTGGGTGAAGGGCCTGAGCCGAGGGTGGGGTTTACTTAAAGAAAGGTTAGGGTATCTCATGGCCACTATCTCCAGTTGTCCTGCCAGAGGGGAGAGTATGGAGGAAGGGGCTTAGAGGTAGGATGGTACTGGTGAAGGGGTTCCCGCTAACCTGAAGAAACAGCATCGGGCGTGGGGTCAGGCCTCTCCCCGGCTGCTCTGCCGGCAGGCAGCGCAGGCTGATTCTCAGAGAGGACAGCCTGCTCCTGTGCCCTGCTCGTTCAAGGAACTGGGGGCTGCCGCTGCCCTGGAGAGTGGGCTGGGCCTTGAGCACAAGGGGCCTCCTGTCCCTTCTTCTCCTGGGGTGCGGAAGAGGAGGGAGTGTCTGCTGGTGCCTGTGCTCCCTCAGTGGGCTCTTTCATGCCTGGGAGCTCCTCTGACATAGAGCTGGGAGGTTCCAGACTCAGCTGTGGCTGCTGCTCTGGAGCTGGTCTACCCGCAGCAGCTGACCTGACCTTTATCTAGAACAGCTTCTATACCATCACCATCCTGCAGCTCCCCCTCCTTTTGTCCTCTCTGTTCTCACCATTTCAAATGCACACTCATTCACACACACACTCACACACACAGTACTTGCTGATGCACACTGACACGCCTTCCCTACACAGACGTTCTCAAGCTTCTGTAAGCACACTCCCATGAGCATGTGTGGATACAAGCACTCACTCCCTCCCCACAGATATTCACACACTAAACTCACCTCGCACACTTACACAGACGTGCACACACACCACACATGCATATGCACACGCATGTGTGCACACACTCATACCTCTGTACAGTGGTCCCTCCCCATGAAGCCAGAAATATAACCTCCGTGGAGATATAAGGTGGAGAGCACAGAAGATGAGAGTAAAGGCAGAGTCTAATTCGAAGGGCTATTTTGTCTTTTTTTATTCCCATCTCACCACCGAATACCCGTGTCTGGCTCAGATTACAGAGAAATATACCAAGAGCACGTGCGTGGCCTAGAGGAGCAACAAGAAGAGGGAGTTCACCGAGGCTACAATCAGCTGCTCCTGGTGGCCAAGCCCGGCTCAGCGAGCTCCATGCTGGAGCAGGAGCTGGACTCTGTCACGGTGGAGGCTCTGTTTGATTCAGAGGAAAAGCCTGACCAAGACCCACCCACAGTGGTGCTACAGGGGTCCGCTGGTGCTGGGAAGACAACACTGGCAAGAAAAATGGTGCTGGACTGGGCCACCGGCACCCTGTACCCAGGCCGGTTTGATTATGTCTTTTACGTGAGCTGCAAAGAAGTGGTCCTGCTGCCGGAGGGCACACTGGACCAGCTCCTCATCTGGTGTTGTGGGGACAACAAGGCACCTGTCGCAGAGATCCGGAGGCAGCCGGAGCGACTCCTGTTCATCCTGGACGGCTATGACGAGCTGCAGAGGTCCAAAACGGTGAGGCTGAGGAGGTGCGGGCCCAGCCGCACGGAGGACATGCTGCGCTGTCTGATTCGGAGAGAGGTGCTTCCCACGTGCTCCCTTCTCATCACCACGCGCCCCCTGGCTTTGCGGAACCTGCAGTCCTTGCTGAAACAACCGTGCCATGTGCACGTCCTGGGCTTTTCTAACGAAGAGAGGGAGAATTATCTCAACTCCTATTTCACCGACGAGGAGCAAGCCAAGAAGGCCATCGACTTTGTACGTGGAAATGAAGTTCTCTACAAAGCGTGCCAGGTTCCAGGCATTTGCTGGGTAGTTTGCTCCTGGCTGAAGGAGCAGATGGAGAGAGGCAGAGAGGTCTCAGAGACCCCCAGTAATGGCACGGACATCTTCATGGCCTACGTCTCCACCTTCCTGCCACCCAGTGACAAGGAGGGCTGCTCCGACCTTACCCGAGACCAGGTCCTAAGTGGTCTGTGCTCCTTGGCAGCTGAGGGGATCCAGCACCAGAGGTTCCTGTTTGAAGAAGCGGACCTCAAGAAGCACAGTTTAGACGGGCCCAGCCTTGCTGCTTTCCTGAGCAGCCACGATTACCAAGAGGGACTTGACATCAAGAAGTACTACAGCTTCCGCCACATCAGCTTCCAGGAATTTTTTCATGCCATGTCCTACTTGGTGAAAGAGAACCGGTGCCGGTTGGGGGCAGGGTCCCTCAGGGAAGTGAAGAGGCTGTTGGACAAGGAGCAGGAGGGGGATGAGCTGACCCTCACTATACAGTTTTTATTGGACATATCGAAAAAAGAGAGCTTCTTGAACTTCGAGCTAATGTTCCAGTTCAAAATTCCCCCCTCCATAAAGCAGGACCTGAAGACTCTCAAAGAACAAATGAACTCCATAAAGCATAATAGGACCTGGGATTTGGAATTCTCCCTGTATGAGTCTAAAATGAAGGACATGGTAAAGGCTGTCCAGATGAATACCACAGTGATTAAGATGGAACGTTCTAATGAAAAGAAAACCGAAAGCAGGAGCTTAGTTTGTGTCAAAGCCAGCTTGAGTGATGAAAAGAAAGAGGAGAAAAAAAGTCCAGCTGTGGATGAAGGTGATACAGCAGGGACACAAAAGAAGGCTTCTAATGGAAAAGGCAGAGGGAAGAAGAACTAGAGACAGGGAGGGTAGAGGTAGGAGGGCAGGAAGCACAGAAATGGAGACACTGGCGCTGAAGGACGATGGTGGGGTGGAGAGACAGAGGACGGGGGAAGACAGTAGAAAGGAATGGAGAGATGTGAGATTAGATTAACGGGCACAAGGACCGGAAAGACAGAGGAGCAAACAGAAAAGGGAAGTAGATAGGGGATTGGAAGACTTGGAACAAAGGGCGTGGGGAAAAACCATGTGGAATGAGTCCTTAGGAATAACACGTGTCAACAATGGCTCAAGTTTAACTATTTAGCACTGACCCCCTACTCTAAGGCTGTTTGTAACTTCCCAAAATGTAGAGTCTTATGAGAATCTGACATTTGACTTTTTCCTGTTAGATAAACTCCTTAATGTAATAAAATGTGGATTGTGCTTATTCTGTAAGTTTGGGTAACATGAGGCATACCAGTGTCAACGTTGAAAGGAAATAGCTGTACTGTAATAAATGGAATATCCCTTTGACTCTGTATTTGTAATCCATTGCTGCTTAAGTAAATATTTTTTCCATCTTTCTAGAAACTTCTAGAATTTCCATGTTGGAAATGAGCCATGGCTTGTCACAGACCTTTGGTCTTAGAAGCTATTCTGTGACTTGAGTTACTTCTATGCTAATCACATGCCGCTGTTGTCTCCAGCTGTACCATTAACTGACTTCCTGTTTGGAAAGACCAGTCATTTTGAAGCACTAACTCTAATCTCTTTTTCTGCTTTGGTTCCCTCTGTATAGAGAAAAAGAAGAAAAGGAATTAAAAAAATTTTTTCCTTTATTGATTTTAGAGAAAGAAGCAGGGAGAGGGAGAGAGAGAGAAACATCAATGAGAGGGAACATTGATTGGCTGCCTGCTGCATACCCCTGACCAGGGATCAGGCCCATAACCTGGGCATGTGCCCTGACTGGGAATTGAACCGGTGACCTCTTGGTGCATGGTCAATGCTCAACCACTGAGCCACACCGGCTGGACAAAAAGGAATTTTAGATGTAGGTGTGGTCAGGTCCCAACCCTCATTTCATGGATGCGGAAACTGAAGTTCAGTCAGGAACCCCGCGCCGTTAATTTCTGGGGTCTGTAGATGCCCCCTGAGACTGCACAGGCACTGTGAACCTCCCCCGCTCCAGCTGGTGCTGCTGGCTCAGTGCAGCCTCTTGAGAGTGCTGAGGCTGCTTTGGACTCCGTCCCATAGAAAGTCACAGACGCCTCTCTTCACAAGTTGATTCCAGGTGTACCAATCCCAGCAATCTGCTGGATGTGCCCAGACATCTGAATCCAAGGAAACTCAGCCCCGAGTGGTCAACTTCGTGAGCCATGACACCGATTACTATGAACTCTTCTCACAAGAAGCGTGGTGGCTATCTGTTCCATAACTATATACACAGCATGTTGAGCACACAGATGGCATGTATACATAGAATGTGTAAGAAACAACCTGTGTGGGCATGTACTTGTTTAAAGAGCAATTTGTAGTGGATTACTTCTGAGCCAGACCGTGTGGACCCCTAAAGAGCTTGGATGTGCTCAGCAGGCCAGCTCCTGAATGTCAGAGAATTTGGGAACAATGAAACAGGTGCCCTGTCACTGCTGGATTTTCATGCGGCCAAGGAGGTCTGTTTTTAAAAAAAAAACATGGGCCCTGGCCACTTCGGCTCAGCGGTTGGCGCATCGGCCTGAGGACTAAAGAGTCGCAGGTTCGACTCCAGTCAAGGGCAGGTGCCTCGCTTGAGGTTCATCCCCAGCCCTGGTCAGGGTCATGTGGGAGGCAACCAGTCAATGTGTCCCTCTCACATTGATGTTTCTCTTTCTCTCCCTCCCTTCCTTTCTCCCACTCTTTCTGAAGATAAATGGAAAAAAAAAATCCTCAGGTGAGGATTTAAAAACAAAACAAAACATGATTCTAACATCCAATTGAGGGTTAGACATGTTATTTCACGTAGGACCCACATTCAGTTCAAACTAGCTTTAGCAAAAATTAAATGACTTAGTGAATAAAGAAAGACCTTCAGTTTTAGGTTCATCTTGCTCATTCTATGATATCCTCAAGGCTTTCACTCTCCTCTCTGTCCTTTCTATAGTTGCCTGTGGCTCTCATTTCAGAAAGTAATCTTCATGTGTCAGAGAAGATGGCCGTAGGTACTTCAGCGTAAACCACCCTTCCCATCAATAATCCCAAAGGAAGAGAAGAGTCTTTATGAACAACTGTAGCAGGGAAGTTGGGGGAGGGTTCTGTCCCAACCCCGGGGGCCTGCCAAGCCTCAGACAATCCCTGTGGTCTGGAAGATGAACTCTGATTGGCTGGACCTGAGTGTCACGGCCTAGGTCACATGGCCATGCTTCCTAGGTCACTTCGCCACACTCCTCGGGCTGAGTGAGAAAGGATCTACACCTCTCAAAATGCATGGAACGGGAGAGTGGCTCCCCAAAGGAAGGGATTTTGAGCAGGAAGAAAAAGTATGTCTCAGAGATATGTACAGAGATACAGTGTGTCTGATGGGCTGGGGTTCCCTGAGGGGCTGGTGAAGAGGAGGGACAACGAGTCCCTCTGTGCAGAAGTCTGGAAGGATGGGCCCAACCTGGAGGTCAGAGGCAGTAGTGATTCCAGGAGCAGAGAGAGTCTGGGCCCACGCTCCTTACTTAGCCTCCCTCTGCGGGGTGGGAGGTATGAACCACGGGAAAGAGAAGTCTGTGGCCAGAGGGAAGGAGCTCCATCCCTGGGAACAGCTGTGGGAACCCCCTCTGAAGGAGTAGGGTGTGGGAGTGGCCGGTGGAGGAGGGTATCAGACAAAATACAAGATGCCCGGTTAAGTTTCAGTTTCAGATGAACCATAATATTTTTGCATGGGACATACTTATGCTAAAGTATTAGTCATTGTTTATCTGAAATTTAAACTTTAACTGGAGTCCTGTGTTTGTATTTGCTCCATCTGGCTACCCGAGTGGGGAGGATGTTGGTGGAGCCGCAGGGCCGTAGCCCTGAGCCACGGGAAGACACCAGCTGCTGCAGCTCCAGTGAGTCCTGAAACCCTCCGACTCCCCCTTCCCTGGGCCTCTTAAAAGGAAAGCTGCCTACTGTAGAACTCAGACGGCTGGGGCTCCTGCGACGGGCTGAACATGTGACTATTCTTGGAGATACTGGCGGACGAATTGCCAGGAAACGACCGAATCTATGTCAGTAAATCCGTGGCACCTTTGAGACTGGCCCAGTGTGCTCCACGTGACAATTGCCCACGGTGCAGTGAGTCTGGAACATGGTCCCCAGATACGGAGGGAATGGCAGAAAAGGCCGTGGGTTGGGTGTGTGGGAGGTGGCTGGGCACTTACAGAGAACAATCACTCAATTCTGCCTGTTTCCCATTAAAAAAAAAAAAAAGTATGTCTTTTGTACATCAGTATGTGGACAGATGTGAACAAAACTGGGAGTAAGCTCTCTAGACCCAGGGTACAGGCAGAAACTGGTGATATATTTTATCCCTCCCTAGATGCACATGGCACTGCCGTAGGCCCTCCCTTCCCAATACCGTGTGGGGGTCACCTCGTCATCCTTTCCCATGGCTCGGCCGGAGGCCGGGATCCCTGCAAGCCTCTGTGACATGGGGTTTGCCCGGCTCTGCCATTCCCGAGGAGCCACTTTAGGGTTCTGTTTGGATGCGGCAAACCTCATTCCTGGGACTACTTCTGACGCATTTTGTCCAAGAGACTATTCCCCTGCTCATTTTTGGAAATGGACCGCTTCTATATTTCTCTGTATAAAGCAACAGGAAGGTTTTCCTTATGTCAAAAATTTCTTATGTAATTATGGCGAAAGTTCTGCGAAGCCCAGACATGGGGAGAGGGAAAGTTGATTCATTCCTACAGTTTTTTGTTTGAGTCGTCAGGATTTTCTGTTGATAAGACCGTATGATCTGTAAATAGTGACCATTTTCCTTGTTCCGTTTTGACTCGGAGGCCTTTTGTTGCTTTACCTTGCCCGATGGCTCCTGCGAGGACATCACTACTGTGCTGAATAAGAGCGGTGAGATGGGCCCTGCTGTGTTGTTCCTGACCTCGGAGGAAACCCTTTCAGTCCTTCACCCCTGAGTATGATGTTCGCTGTGGGGTTGTTTATACGGCCTTTTTCATGTGGAGGTATGTTCCTTCCGTACCCGATTTGTTGAGGGTTGCTGCCCTGGGCGCTGGCAGGGGCATCGTCATGGGCACCTCTCAGGCTCTGCCTCTAGACCCCCCTGGCATTGCACCGAGGGCTTTCTGCATCGATTTTTGCCGTGGCAGTCACTGACCATGTTCTTTCTCGGACGATTTAGCATTTTTTTTCCCTCCCATTTTTGGAGCATTGGCAGAAGTGCAACCTCCTCCTCATCTTGGAAAAGAATAGCTACTGACCCCACCGCCTGCTGACAGGACTTACTCTGTTGCTTTCCTTATTTTGTCCTAAGAGACTCAGGAAGATGATGACCTCTGTGTGTCACACTCCCTATTCCCCACTTCCAGGTCCCAGTGAGTCCTACCATGACAGCGGGGACTGAAGCATCCAGGTAGGGCTCTTAGCAATGTCTTTAAAGCCAGACTCAGCCTGTTCAATGAAGGGAGAGTCCACCCCAAGAATATCTCTTCGTTAGTAGAATGTGTGACTCTTCATCCCTTGGATTCTTTTATACCCCTTTCCCTATGATGCTAGACTTGGGAACCAGCCCCCAAAGTGTGCAAAGTCCTTGAAGTAATTCATTTATGGACCTCCCTTGTCTTCATTTCTGTTTTACTCCATCTCCTCTTTCACTAAGATTTGAAATCCTCTCTTCTTCACCCACCACATCCATGTTCTCCAGGACTATCAACGCACTCCTGAAGTATTTCTTTTTTACAAGTCAGTAAACCGTTTTTTTGTTTGTTTGTTTGTTTGTTGTTGTTGTTTTTTTAAATTTCTAAAGCTCTGTCATATATTTCTGGCAGATGCCAATGGTCACCTGCCACACTTGCTCCAGGTTGTCTGTGTAGTTGGCAGAGAGAATCTGGCCATCAGCAGACCAGACCTGAGAAGGGTACTGGGGTGGCTCTGCCTTGCTGCTGGCACTGATAACTTCTTTTTATTTTATTTTTGATTTTTCAGATAGAGTGGGAGGGAGAGAGAGAGGAAGAGAGAGAGAAACATCAATGTGAGCGATACACATTGACTGGTTGCCACCCACACGACCCCAACCAGGGCCAGGGACAAACTGCAACCGAGGTACGTGCCCTTAGCAGGAACCGAACTTGGGACTTTCTGGTCCGTGAGCTAACGCTCTAACCACTGAGAAACCAGCCAGGGTGATAACTTCTTGCCTCAGCTCATCTACAGTGACCTTGCCTCCAAGTCCCAGATCTTGATGCTGGGGCCCATGGCAGCACAGAGCCAATAGCAGTTGCGGCTAAAGCACAGGGTGCTGAAGATGTTCCCACCAC